TAACAAGTGCCACGCTAGTAGTAACAGGTGCCTTACTAGTAGTAACAAGAAGCTAGACAGACACTTTAGCGCCAGAATGCTTAGGCAACTGGCTTCAGTTCTTCCAGGGGAGGCCCCCGCGGCGGTGCAGGAAGGCGCTGCAAGAAAACCGGAACAAGAAGCTACTAGTAACAAGGGCATCGCTACTAGGAGCAAGGACGTTACTAGGGGCTCCTGGCCATACTACTAGGAACAAGAAGCTAGTAGTAATGCCCTTAGCTACTAGTAACTTCTTGTTACCAGTAGGCGATGCCCTTGTTGATTTGTTTATTGTATTTTCCTCTCAAAGTCTTATCCTTCCTTCTCCCTTGAAACTTCACTGGTGTTAAATTTGTAGGTTGTTTTTTCAGAAACTCCCTGTGCAGATCGTGCTGGCTTCCACCTGCAAAGTCAGGCTGGAGGGTTCAAACATAAGGTGAACAAGCAAAAAAGACACAGGGGGAACTCCCTAGAAGCAAGGACGCTACTAGGGGCTCCTGGCATCGCTAGTAGGAATAAAGGCTCCTGGCCATACTACTAGGAGCAAGAAGCTACTAGTAGCTCCTGACCTTACTACTAGGAGCAAGGACGCTCTACTAGGGTCTCCTGGCCATACTACTAGGAGCAAGGACACTACTAGTAGCTCCTATAGCAATGGCCTCTTAAAGGGCGACACAGTCGGGAGAACGGAGAGCCTCGATGGGAGGAACACCGACCTGAGACGGAGAAGAAGAAGAAGCAGTGTAAATGCTGAATAGCGCTTTCTGCAAAGTGCAGAGAAGAGAGCAAGGCTCAAGGCACTCCAACAGTTTTAGCAGGCATGCAAAGTAGCTGAAGGAACACGTTGCTAGCCATTAGACATCATCCAACCATCTTGCATCCTTTCTTCCTTTTTGCCAACAGTGTCATAGAAGCACGGTGAATTCGTGCAGGGAAGTTGTTCGTGGATACGTAGCTCCTTGTCAGCTGTGCTAAAGAGTTCGTGAAAGATGGACCTTTCTGGAACACTTCCCGGTAACTACACTAGGACCTCAGGCTTGGTGAAACCTAGAATGCCAATGCCAACCTGCCACCTGAAAAAGTCTGACAGCACCTGTTCGTCTACCGAATATTTCTGTGGCAGCTCGTTTTCGTGTTTCACATTCGATAGCAAATGTCACGCGTGCAGCGGTCCGTGCGTTGTCAAAAGGGAGGTGGAAGGCTTCGTAAGGTTCTTGGAAGTTCGGACAAGTCCCAAGATCTTCGGAAACCAGATCACGTTCAGAGCAACAAGAAGCTACTAGGGGCTCCTGGCCTTACTACTAGGAGCAAGGACGCTACTAGGGGCTCCTGGCATCGCTACTAGGAGCAAGTAGCTACTAGGAACAAGGCTCTTCATTTTTTCTTTCTAGTAGTAACAAGAAGCTAGTAGGAACAAGTGCATCGCTACTAGGAGCAAGGGCCTTACTATGACTCTTCTTTAAACCTTTCTTTTCGCTCCGATCACAACTGATTTGACGCTTTCATCCGATTTCCTCACCTCGGTAGGTCTGGACCTTGTTGGCCTCGAAGGCTTGTCGCTACGCCACGATGGTCGGCAAGGCGGACGCCGCGACATGACTTTGCACATTCGACTTCAGGTTGAGCACAGGAAGGTAACGTCTTTTTTTTCCCCAGATAGGGTGAGCTATTGGGTTCTTACTCCAAATATGATTAGAAAAGCTGCATGTGTGCGCTTTCGAGCTTGGGTGCTGGTGCTACCTATCAAAAAGAATATGAATCAACACAAAAAGATTCCTGTCAAACACATTAATTTGTATCAGCAAAAAAA